CTCCTGCTCCTCTTGTAGAGGAGGACTGTTTCTCCTGCTCCTCTTGTAGAGGAGGACTGTTGGTGCTCAGTCGAGTGGAGCTACAGTTCATCAGATGTAAACAGATGAACTCTTCAGATTTATTCAGGGTCCGGCTCAATCCAACATTTTTCAGTCAGATCATCTGGACAGTTTCTTTTTTTGTGCTGAAACGTTTCGCCTTCGATCCAGAAGGCTTCATCAGTCAAGGAAACATACAACAAAACCGAGTCCGGCTCAACGTTCTTCTCAGTTTGGACTTTTCTACCTCTGGCTCCTCTTCAGGGTCTTACCTCAACTTGTCTCTTCTGATGTGAGATCAGCTGCTGGAGGAGTCGGTTCTCCTCCTGGAGTTTCTCTGCTGCTAACAGCTGATCCTGGACCTGCCGGGACAACAAACGGAGGACTGAGACCCTCAGAGGAAACCAAACGGTGGACATGAAGCGAAAGAGTACCTGCTGGGTCGAGTCTTCCAGTCTGTTCTGGTACGAGTTCAGGGTCATGGTCAGCAGCTGCAGGACCTCAGCGGGACTTTGTTTCCCATCATGCTTTGCAGGCTGTGCCAGCTGTTCACCTGTGCTCCTGTGTTGTTGCAGCGTTTGTCTGATCTGGTTCACGAGGTTCAGAAAGACCTCCTCTGAGTCCGACTGCCTCTCAGCTGCCTGGACACAGTTTTAAAGGATTATTTTTAAAAGATTCACTCAACAGAGTCCAGTTCGTTCTCCCTGATTCCTGAACCACACATTAAGACATCCATCAGACCTAAACCACAGGAGACAAGAACCACAGAGCTGGACTCATTAACTGAGCCCTCGCCCGGTCTTCAGTGAAACAGATCCTGCACACCCCAGAACTACATCTGACTTCATCCCTCCAGATGAACAGCTCGTCTCTGCCAAAGAGCTCTCCCACTGCATCATAACAAGAACTAGGAGAAGGAGAAGAAGAAAGAAGGGGTGGATGATCACTGGCATGTATGATGCAGTGATGATGACTGGCATGTATGATGCAATGATGATGACTGACATGTATGATGCAGTGATGATCACAGGCATGTATGATGCAGTGATGATCACTGGCATGTATGATGCAATGATGATGACTGACATGTATGATGCAGTGATGATCACTGGCATGTATGATGCAGTGATGATGACTGGCATGTATGATGCAATGATGATGACTGACATGTATGATGCAGTGATGATCACAGGCATGTATGATGCAGTGATGATCACTGGCATGTATGATGCAATGATGATGACTGGCATGTATGATGCAGTGATGATGACTGGCATGTATGATGCAATGATGATGACTGGCATGTATGATGCAGTGATGATCACTGACATGTATGATGCAGTGATGATCACTGGCATGTATGACATTGTGAAGCCATTTCAGATGAAGCTGGTCTTATGGGAGTCCCTTCCTGTTTTTGTCTCTGCTAAAAACATCTGTTCTATTTCATCCCTACTGACCGCCAGAGGGCGGTGCTGAACGAACTGAATGTTTCCTTTGCGCTTGTGCCATTTGAGTAGTATAGTAGTCCCTTGCTACTTCGCAGTTCGTTTATCGCAGATTTGCTCTATCGCGGTTTTTCAAAATAAGATTGGACATGACACTCAATTGGCTGATTGATGGATGAGCTGCACGATCGGCATGGAATTTTTATTTAAAATAAATTATTTGAAATTATTTAGCACCTGCTGCATCTTTGTGCAGCCCACACTGCAGGATAAATTTCCTGCTGCAGCTGATCAGCTGATCCCAGTGCAGAGCGGTTAAGTGGGCGGGGCTAAGAGTCTTGCAGGTGGTTGAGAGAAGTGGAGGCAGGGAGCTGAAATCATGACATTCTGTCTCTTAGAGCGTTTAGAGTTTAGAAACATTATGCTGGTAGGGCTGGACAATAATTGAATATCAATTAAATTCCATTCAATTCAAAAATACTTTATTAATCCCAAAGGGAAATTAAGTGTTGTCGTAGCTCATCATCCTGATTTCATACAAGAGTTCTTAGATTCTGATAGCTGTGGGCAGGAAGGATCTCCTGCAGTGAATCTGAAGAATCTAGCCACAGATACCAGTCAGTCAGCCCAGATCCAGCTTGCTGTCAGATCCGGTCCTCCTGGGCAACAGGACTGCCCAAATGCCGATCAGAATTCCTCCCTGAGTGATGGTCACTCCTCCCTGCAATCTGCCGAGCTCATTGTCGCCGCAAACGGCGCCAGGGGACGATCCCGTTCCTCCCGTTGTCACGAGCCAAGTTTCCCACCAGCTCCAGGATCTTGGCGGTCAGAAACTTGAGCACCGCCGCTAGGTTGATGGGAATTCATTCATGGAGCCTCCTTTTCAACTCATTTGGAATTTGGGGCTGTAGTTGAGGTATTTCAGCTTTTGAGCTGTTAATCAGGTGCTCCTGGTTGTTAAAAAAAACACCTTGTTGTCATGGTTACGCATCATAGATGGATGGATAGATGGATCATAGATTACAGTGTTTCATTGACGCATTTCTTTTTCTGTTTGGGATGAAGCGGCTACTTCAACCCAAGCAGAAAAAGGTGTGACACAACTAGGTAAGTGCGTGGTGACGTAGATGTTACGCAGAGCTCGAGTCCAGAAGGCATTGGCAGTAGCAGGCTAGGCTAATCTCCAACGCGCATTAAGTTTTCTCTTCAAAATGAGTTCCCATGACCGTCAGAATGTGACTGAACAAGGTTTCACAAGCGAAGCGAAAGCTGATGACATCATTGATAATAGGAAAGACTAATTCGGTGGTGTGGACGTGGTTCGGCTTGCTAACATCTGATAAACTGCAGGTTTCAGTCAGTGCGCTGCAAAATGTGACGGAGTCGTTCCAACTAGCGCTGGGAACATCTGACTTGTTTCATCTGAAGAGTTTCCACTTGATCGAGTCAGAGAGTCAGAAGATGAAGCACAATAAGAGCCAACGTGTCCCTGAAACACCCCCAGCTGGATCAAAAGAGAAACACGTGCAGTTAGGTTATGTTGCTCTTTACAATTAAACTATTAACATTGACAAAGTTGAGAGTTTTATGTTTATTTGACGGTGATTTAAAAGTGTTTTGAAGGCTCAATACAAATAAAAGGTGAACATTAATTTATTTGTACAGTTTCTCTGAGGCTTTTATATTGTTTATATTGATATTGGATTATATTGTTATGACCGAAATTAAGAAATATATCGTGATAAAAGTTTGGGCCGTACCGTCCAGCCCTATACGCTGGGCAAAGATTAACATTTTTAATTGCGATTAATCTCATTAGTATGCGCAACATTAAATTATGACCCAACGATGTTTAGAACATATTTAAGGTACTGTGACAGTCTGATCACTCACCAATAAATATAATGCACACATTTCATCCAAGCATCTATGTTTTGGAGCACTCTTCCTCCCACACGCTGGCAGCCCAGCCCAGCTGTTTCCAGTTGAAACGCCCTTTTTGAGAGTTGTGAAATGAAGCGCGGCAGAGCGGGGGGACGTCGGACAGCGGGTCTTGGATCACCCGAGGGCTCGTCTGGCTCACAACAGAAGCGCTTCTCTTTGGACCGAGTGTCTCTCCATGCGTTGGTAGCGTGAGTGAAACAATCCGTGCACTGTTTGGGACTGAGATTAACTAACGGACTAACGCTCGAGCCACGTCCCTCTTTAAGTTAAATAACTGATTATTATTGGATAAACTATTGTTGTTTGTGTGTAAATACATTTGAAACTTGTGGAGGAATTTTGTGGTTGTTGAGTTTTTTCATTTAATGTTGGGGTTTTAATCACTTCTGTGTTTTACATCCTTGGTGCAGGTTTTGTGCTCAAGGGTAAAAATATATAATTCAACGTCGTTTGTCAGAGAGAGACCTGGCACCACAAAACCTTCATATCACAAAACCGTTGAATGTGTTTGTTTACTCGTAAACAACACGGTGTGTGTGTTACCTGCTGCAGCAAGGCGTGTGTGTGGGCGTGTCCTCTCTTCTCTTCCTCCAGTCTTTCTGACAGGTCAGAGGTCGCCTTCCTCTCGGTTTCCAAGGCGACGGTCATGTCAGCCTGACGCTGAGCGAAGTCTTCCTGCAGCCTGAACGACCAGAAGAGGTGAAAGTGAGGAACTGACCCACGATGACATCATTGTTTGTTTGTTTACTCACCGCTGCAGAGCGCTGCCGCTCCTCTCCCTCTCCAGGCCGTAGGCTCTGTCCATCTCCCTGAGGTGAGCTCGCAGCAGCTCCAGGCTGACCTGCGCCTCCTGCCGGTCGGACCGCTCCGCCTCCAGGTCCCGCCCCCGCAGCTGCCGGGTCACATGAGCACACGGAGGCGTTCAGCTGAGACCTGCAGCTCAATGTTTTGATAGAGATGATGTTTGTTTGTTTGTTTGTTTACCTGCAGGAGCTCCAGGCTGCGTTTGGTCTCCAGGTGAGCATCTCGCTCCTCTTCGAGGTTCTGATCCACCAGCTGCAAAGACATCATCAGTTCTTCACCTCCATTGTTCACTTCCTCCTCAGCAGGAGTTCCAACATTTACATCTAACCTCCTTCTCCCTGCGCCTCCTCTCCTTCTCCTCCAACAGGAGCTCCAGCTCCTTGGCTCGTCGTCTGTTCTCCTCCTGCACCTCGGCCGCCCTCCTCTCAACCTCCTCCAGCGCCTCCTCCTGGTTCTGGAGGAGCACGAGTCACACGTTAGAAACACGACGGCGATGCTGAGACGGGCTGAATCGTGGAGTCGGACCTGCAGCAGTCGGTGCAGGTGCTGGTTCTCAGAGCAGAAGCTCTCCATCAGCCGGGTGCGCTCCTCCACCTCCTGCTGCAAAGCATGCTGGTCCTCCTCCCGGGCCTGCCGCGTGACGCGCAGAGCTTTCTGCAGCTCGCAGATGGTCTGCTGCAGCTCGGCCGTCTGCTCTGAGATACAAACAAATGGCGTGAGAACAGCTGATCTGGACCTGAAGCTGGGTCAAGAACCGTCCCGTTGCAGGGACAGGAGTCTGATCCACACTCGGACGTTCCCGTCCAGAACGAGCCCTGAATGATTAAAAAATGAGTCCAGTGTGAGTCCAGAGCGAGTCCAGAAAATGGTAAATGGTAAATGGACTGTACTTATACAGCGCCTTTCTATCTGATCAAGACACTCAGAGCTCTTTACAACAATCTGTTCCTCATTTACCCATTCATACAGCTCTATACTAGATCTCTACAAAGATAATGTCTGCAGATGTTGGATGCTGTCTATCATGGTGCACTAAGATTCATAACTGGCTGTGATTATCGTACCCACCACTGCACCCAGTATTCACTGGTTAACTGGACATCATTAACTTCACGCAGACTCTCTCACTGGTACATCTTCATCTTTAAATCACTTCCTGGTCTGCTGCCTTCATACATCTCCTCCTACATGTCTCTGCGTGAGTGCAGCTACAGCGTGCGCTCTCAGGACATTATTACCTGCAGTGTTCCCTCAGTGAGGACTGAACTAGGCAAAAGGGCCTTCTCCTACTCCGCTCCTGTTTCCTGGAATATCTTACAAAAAGATTTGAAGCTCTCGACCTTTGACCTCTCTAAGTGGCTTTAAGAATCTGTTGGACTCCTGGCAGGGACCAATGCAGACATGTTCCTGTTTTTAGTTTTATACATTTGTCTTGGAATCTAGCTGTTTTTTTGGTTTTGTTACCTTTTTCCTTTTAGCCATCCTATTTGTTAAAAAAAAAAAAAAAAAAAAAAAAAAAAACTGTAGTATGAGTTTTTATAACTGCTTATTGTTGTTGCTGTTGTCCATTGTTGTCATCTTTCTTTGTTGAAATCAGGTCTCTCTTGTAAATGAGTCCTCGAGGCTCAATGGGATTTACCTGTAGAAATAAAGGTTGATTGATAATTGAACAAATCATTCTAAAGAGACTAATCAGAGCTTTATCACATTCATACACTGATGGGACACACATTGGAGGTGATGAGGGGTTCAGTGTCTTGCCCATGGACACTTCGGCATGTGACTGCTGGTGGATTCGAACCCCCAACTCTTGCATTGGAGGACGACTGCTCTAACCACTCAGCCACAGCCGCCCCAGGTGAAAGTGTCCAGAGTGAGTCGAGCTGTTTTTACATCTGGATACGCTTGAAGACGAGATCATCTCTGAGCACAGCCAGTCAGCCAGACGACAGGAAATCACGTCAACTGGAGGATGAGTTTAACTCGACCCCTGACCTGGTAACCATGGCAACAACAACCCTGAGCAGCAGGACAGCTCCTCGTAAGAAGCGATTTGTTTTTGTTTACCTGTGAGCGTCCGTCTGTCTCTGCTCAGTTCGACCACACGCTCGCCGTCTCTGCGGCTCGCCGTCAGCTGGTACTGAAGCTCCGCCCTCTGAGCCTCACCTTGCTCCACCGAGGCCCGGAGGCGGGTCAGCTCCGCCTGCAAATGGCACACCTGGAAAGGGACGAGTTTTTATCTAAATGTTGGTCTTTCCGTCACATTTTGTCCACATTTGGTTTGAAGTTTTAAAATTTAAAGATTTGAATTCAAACTGGGAGTTTTTTTGAAAACTTTATTTAAATTATTTATTTTTAATAAACATTTTTTATTTCTTCTTATTTTATGAACTTCAAGTTAAACAGTGAACAAATGTTAGTTTTAGTTTATTTCATCTTCTTGATCTTGTGCTTGCTGTCATCTCCTAAATGTTTTTTATTGGACATTTCTGACCGTTCTCATGTACGACTCTTTACAGAGCTAAAGCTCAATGCTCCTGCACCACTTGCACCTCCTCCTCACCTCCTGGTTGTAGCTGCTCCTCAGCTTCAGCTTCTCCTTCTCCAGCTGGTTGATTCTCCACCTCAGCCTCCTCGACTCTTCTCCTCCTTCTGCCGCCGCCCTCCTCCCTGGATCTCCTCGGCTCCTTCCTCCTCCTGGTTTCTCCTCCTGTTTCCTGTCTGCTCCTCCTTTCTGTTTCTGACTCATCCTGAAGGAAACAGCAGAACTTACTGAGGTATTGCTCAGATGGATTCACGTGAAACTTCTTATTTGATGTGACAAGGATTGTGTCAGGATTGTGACGGAGGATTAATCCGCACAAGGCAACTGGCCCAGACAACATCCCCGGAAAAGTGTTGAAGGAATGTGCTGATCAGCTCTG